GGAGCACCTTTGAGACTCAGTGAAAGAAAGAAATTGGCAGCAGGAGCTTTTCTGGACTACTTCCTCTGAGGCAGTAGACTTAAGTCTAGGAAAGCTCATGCTGTCAACTTCTTTATATCACTGAGTCTCAAAGGTGCTACAAGAGCTGTCTACATACTGATTCTACAGACTAACATGGCTATATCTTTGAATTCTACTTTGAATTTGACTGCTGCCCTGTCTCAGCGCTATGTAATGCTGGGAAGTGTAGTTTGTTGTGGCACCGAGTTCTCTCTGACCGAGAAGGTTCAGTGTCTCACAAACACAATACTTCCCAGGATTCCCTAGCACTGAGCCAGGGCAGTTAAAGGGGTCTCAGACTGGGTTATTTCTGCAGTGTGTGTTATGGACCTGTGAGTGTTTGGGACTTTTAAAAAAAATATGTGTGGCAATGGCCTCGTGTTTTCCTTTGGAACGTCCTCCATTTTGCGGTGACTCATCCTCCTTTGTGGTTATTGGGGCTTCTCTGCTGTGTGTTGTGTTGGGGAGTCTGCTTTGTTTAAAGGGGCTTTTCTTTGCTGGAGAGAGTGCTGGGCTGCTAGGGCTCTGTGAAGAGCAGGGTTCGAATCCCACCTCGACTATGAAAACCACTGGTGACCTTAGGTGAATCACACTCTCTCAACTTCAGAGGAGAGCAAGGGCAAACCTTCTCTGAACAGATTTGGCCAAGAATACTTCAGGATAGGTTTGCCTCAGGGCTGCCGTAAGTGAAAAATGGTGAGCCATTGTGGTGTAGTGGTTTGGGTGTTGCACCAAGACTGTGGAGACCAGAGTTCAAATCCCTGCTCAGCCATGAAACCCATTGGGTTACCTTGGGGTGAGTCACATGCTCTCAGCCTCAGGAGAAGGCAATGGCAAACAACTTTTGCCAAGAAAACCCCATGATAGGTTCGCCTCAGGGTCACCATATGTTGGAAAGGACTTGAAGGCACACAGCAACAACAGCAGCATAACATGTAGTAAACCTTGTGAAGTGTCTTTCTGTCTCTCCCTCTTTCTTTCCTGCTGTCTGTGCCATCTTGTTGACCCTTTTGGCACTGGGAATCCAAAGAAGTAATTTACTTGTACAGTAGTACTTCAAGCCTCAATGTAGTTTTTATTTTTTTGGTTTTTTGCCAATCTTCTGTTGTTGTTTTTCTGGTAGATTATGCGGTTCATAGAATTGTGGCATTTGAAAGGTCTGAGGATCCCTTTTCAGGTTCAGTATGTAGAGAGATCTTGTAGCACCTTTGCGACTAACTGAAAGAAAGAAATTGGCAGCATGAGCTTTCGTAGACTTGAGTCTACTTCCTCAGAAGCATTTGATGCATCAAATGTGACTCAAATGCATCTGAGGAAGTAGACTGAAGTCTATGAAAGCTCCTGCTGTCCATTTCTTTCTTTCATTTAAGTCTCAGAGGTACTACAAGATCTCTCTACATACTGATACTACAGACTAATGGCCTTTACAGACTGCCAGAAATAAGGCAGCTTGAGGCCACTTAAACTGTCCTGGCTTAGTGCTAAGGAATCATGGGAACTGTAGTTTATTGTGGCACCAGAGCTCTCTGACAGAGAAGAAATAGAAATGTCTCAGAAAAAAATACAGTTCCCATGATTCCCTAGCACTGAGCCAGGGCAGTTAAAGTGGCCTCAAGCTGCCTTATTTCTGACAGTCTGTAAAGGCCCTAACACAGCTATATCTTTGAATTTTCAGGTTCTGGTTAGCATTGCATGATGTATAGGGCCAGTAGGGTCTCTTCCCCACACACAATGGACCAGGGATTGGCACCATATTTATTATATCCACTGGCTACAACTGTTTCTTTCGTTCCTGGAGGCTGGTTGCAGACCAGCAGCCAATGGCTCATGGATCATTTCTATCCACAGAAAAATGTATTTTAAAAAGTATTGCTATTAGAGAACATAGAAAAATGAGCGTGTAACTGCTCCGAGAGCCAGTGTGGCATAGTGGTTCGAGTGGCGAATTACCGTATTTTCCGACGTATAAGATGACCCATGTATAAGACGACCCCCCATTTTTTCAGTCAAATATAGAGTTTTAGCACCTCTATCTTCATTATCCTTATACCCGGCGTATAAGACGACCCCCCCCACTTTAGCCACAGATTTTGCAGGTTAAAAGGTCGTCTTATATGCCGGAAAATACGGTACAATTCTTGAAACCAGGGTTTGATTCCCCATTGGACCATGAAATTCACTGAGCAAGTCACATTCTCTCAGTCTGGGAGAGAAGGCGATGGCAAACCTCCTCTGAATAAGTCTTGCCAAGAAAACCCCATGATAGGTTCACCTGAGGGTCACCATAAGTCAGAAATGACTTGAAGGCACACAACAATAAATGTGTAACTGCTTAGTATGCATACTGAAGCTTCAGGTTAACATAGCACTGTGCTTCATTAACCTGGAGAAATATTATCTACTGCACACTTGGCTTGTAAATTGGATTAGCAGATTCCATGAGGAAAAGTGGATGTTTGCGTTTGTGCTATCTGACAGTTCAAATACTATAGAGTTTAAGGGCCAGGTAGTCTTCATGTAAATGGTCTTGTCTGTGCACCCTGACACTGTCTAGGAAACATAAGCATTAGACCTACAGATGTCACAGATGTAAAGCAGTGATCTATGTCATTTCAACTTGGTTTCCAGAGTATGTGGGATATTGATATGAGCTTTCCTTCATTGTAGCCTTTATATTAGTGAGAAGCAAATGAACGCACAACTTGCACTATCACTGGTTTCAATTCCAGGCCCCTAAGAAGCTATTGGAAAAACTCCCAAGAATGCTCTGGAATGAACAAGCCACGTAGTAAATAGTCACTGACTTCAATCATGCTTCCGAAGATCTCTCCTACATTATCTTATATCTGTATTTATTTGACTTCCACAAAACCAGTCTAAATCATTATTTTTCTCATCTTTGCCACAGTACACTACTGTCAGATGACCATACACTCTTTGGCTGCCCTATCATTTCCAAGGGATATATTTCTCAATGGGCTGCAGCCAATAGGGCTCTTTCCCTGCTTCCTGTTATAAGGGGAGTAAGTACAAACCAGATGGCTGCTCTTTATATTGCCTTTTATTTTAATATGCACTTACTTACACTCACTATTAGCCTCGTATACTATGTTCTGTTTTTTTCTTGTTAATAGGCTGGCTTACTAGCAGACTCTGGGAAATTGGAAGTTTGAGGTAGTTAGCTCAGCATAACAGAGAACCCAGGCAGCAAAAGATGATATAAAATGGGGTCTTGGGAAAGAAACACTTAAGAAAGGCCTTTTCTGAATATGTTTAAATGTATATTATTTTGAAAGCCAGCATGGTATAGGGCAGGGGTCAGCAACCTTTTTGGGGGTGGGGCCGGTCCCCAGGTCCCCTGATGCCCCCTGGGCCATGGTGGTGCGTGTGCGTGCACTACCACCACCATGGTGTGCATGCGTACGTGAGCACGGGGTGCCATTTTGGATGGTGCACTGCGCTCGTGCACGCATGCGCACGGCGGCTGGCGCCATTTTGGAAGGCCAAATGGTAAGTTTCAGTTTCAGGGAAAGGCAAGGCAAAGGCAAACTCCCTCTGAACAAAACTTGGTAAGAAAACTCTCTGATAGGTTCACCCTAGGGTTGCCATAAGTTGGAAATGACTTGAAGGCACAACAACAACAAACAATGTGACAGGTAACTACATAATATTGAGCAGCAAAATTTAAGAGCCAGCCAAATGGCTTGGATGAGAGGGGGGATGGATATCTGATCTAGGATAGAAATTTCCACAATGGTGTGTTTTGATGGGAAAAGATTTCTCATCTTCCTGTCACCTGTACCTCTGGTGATGGGACATGGAGCAGAGCATGCCCTAAAGATCAGAGTGAACAGACAGGAGAATGGGGGAACTTGTAGTTCTTCAGACTTTCTGTTTCTAAGTTGCTGATATCTGTAAAGTTAACAAAGGCTTGAGTTGGGTTGAAAATAAACATGCAGTCAGTTCATTGGAGTAGCAGTTAAATTATGTGCTTCATGAAACTGGCTCTTAACTGCAGTATTTTTCATTAATTTATACTTTGAGATATGTCTCAAAGATTAAACTCCAAGTTGCATTAGAGTACTCAAGCCTTGATAAGGCATGTGTGATTATGTCCAATTCTGCCTTCTGCAGAAATAGGTGCAGCTGTGCAAAAACTTACCTGAGAAAAGTTGTCCTTAAAGCATTCACAGACGTCAGACCTTACTCTTCTGGATGATGCTTCCTTATCCCAAACTGACTATAGGCTTTTGCAGACTGCTAGAAATAGTGCAAATTGAGTCCACTTTAACTGCCCTGGCTCAGTGCTAGGGAATCATGGGAACTGTATTTTTTTCTGAGACATTTCTATTTCTTCTCTGTCAGAGAGCTCTGGTGTCACAGTAAACTACAGTTCCCATGATTCCCTAGCACTGAGCCAGGGCAGTTAAAGTGGACTCAATTTGCACTATTTCTGGCAGTCTGCAAAGGCCCTAAATTGCTTTCCCAATCTTGGTGCTCCATGTAGATTCCACATACAGTCCATTACTGATCTTCAAATCAAAATGTCCATGACAATGTAGTAAATTTAGGGCTATGTCGGCAGAAAAAGCCCATGAAAAGCACCTCTCTCCAGTTTTCGGAGGACTTCTCCTTTCCTCTGCATCACAGCTGTTGTCATTGTTACGTGCTGTCACATCTACTTTCACTTACGACACATACTGTGAATGAGAGACTTGGAAGACCTCCCATTATCAACTGTCTAGGTCTTGCAAACTCAGGACTGTAGCTTCCTTGATTGAGTCAATCCACTTGTAGTGCAGTCTCCTCTTTTCCTTCTGCCTTCCCCAGCAGAAAGCTGTACAGTAATATATTTGGTGGCATGTGTGAGGAAGAAGCAAAAGAGAAGTCTGCTTCTACCAGATCGGTTGTACACAGTTCCATCTACCCCAAACCAGAATGTTTCACAATTTTCTCTCATTTACATTTGGGAATAGGCAGAGTGATCAAGCAAGTATATGAACCTGAGAGACGGAATAACAGATACGCATACTACCTTTCACTAAATATTCAAAGCAGATGCCTAATTACATGCTTCTGATGGAATACCAAACTGTGGTTTGGTTGTTGTATGAATAAGCTTAAGTATCCGCATTTTGCTGTGACTCCACACTCAAGTGGTGATAACTGTATTCCATTAAAACAAACCATAATTGAACTCAGTTTCATATCCTAGTTTCTTAACTAATTGTGATTAGAATAACCCATAATCTCCTGAGTTCTTATCTTGTGGAAACAGCAGTTAGTTCACAGTTGAAGTGGAAATGTTGTGTCCAGTCATAGTCTCCTCAATTTGCAAATTATGGGAAGAGTGGTTAATTCTTGTCTCTATATGATCAGATAGTGTTTCCATTTTCCATTTTGAATTAACCACTATTCCTGTGCTTTTGAACTTGGAAGACTATACAGTTTTTCCTCCCTTTTCGCAGACTTGGAATCCGCGTTCTTGCTCTTTGCAGGAGGGACAAGCGGCTATTAACAGAATGGCAGTGCGACCCTGCCCGCGTGCTTTGGGTGCTCACACCATTATTTTCTATGGGATTCAAATATGTGCAAGTCACCATTTCGCAAGGGGGTCTGGAACAGATCTGCTGTGAATTGGGAGGAGCAACTGTAATCTTTGCTAACTAAACTTATTCAGAACAAAAGATGGGGAAGCACGCAAGCTCAATGTCCCTACCCTTTCATTTGTTAACAGTGAACCATAGTTGCTACCTTGCCCCACTCTTTCAT